TGCTTGCTTGCACGCAGTTTAGAGAGCAGAGTTGCCCCTGCCCTCTTGCGCTCTCGCGCTACGGCCCTTGTCTCTCGCTCTCTCTCTCTCTCTCTCTCTCTCTCTCTCTCGCTTCCTTCCTTCCTTCCTCCCTCCCTTCCTTCCTTCCACCCGGTTCAGGTCTGCCCTTTCTTTCGACAGGGTTATGGGCGAGGGGAAACTCCCCCTGCCCTCTCTCTCATTCTCTCTCTCTCCCACGCTCCCACTGTCTTTTTCTATAGCTGCTGGGTCTCGCGCGCACACACTATGCGTGGGGACAATTGCCAATATGATTCACTCTGCAATGATGGTTCACAGGCAGCACATTCACTCCAAGTCCGTCTGTGTGTCTCCCAGATTCCAACATCCGAACCGACCCAAGACCCAAAAGCCATCTAGGAACTCTGCATCATTGGTACCGGTACAGGCCGCACACGGACAAGCAATCCACTGAAGGTCCAGGACATACCGCAGGCCCTGATCATTGCTTGAGTCCAACTCTTCGAAGATCTTGCCCAGCTCCCAAACTGGACAAATCCTTGCAAATGGGCACGATGCAGCAGCATAAAGGCGTGGCTTCCGCAAGTCGCTTCTCTCATGTGCATGTCGTAGTTCTTTAAAATTCTGCCCCAAGGGGTGGGAGGGACGAAAGCTTCTGTGCGGGGGAGGAAGAGGACGGAGATGGGTGTCCTTTTTCCCTTGCTGCTGCACGTCACCCCCCCGCCGGCACCAGGCATCATAAGCATCATCGGGGTCCCGTTTCTCCAACAAACATCTCTGCCGGAGTCCCGCGTGCAGCCCCGAAAACGAGCCCACGCGGCCCACGCCTGAAAGGGGGTGGCTCGAAAACGGAAGGCGTTTTGGAACAGTTTCTGGGTGGTCCTCCCCCACACCCCCTATAGCTGATCAGCAAAGCTGGGTCTCAACACGAGCTCCTGTAGACTGTAGTTTGGCTCTCTTCAACCAAGGCACTTGTGATCCAAGACAATGTTATGCTTAGCGCAAAGGTCGATGATTTCCTGCGTGGACTGGACGCCGCCGATCATCGAGGCTGCCAGGGAACAAAGGGCACTTCCACAAGGAGCAAAGACAAGACAATGTGGAGCCTCATAGGAAAAGCGATCTGAAGGATGGCTAAGTAAGCTCGGATGAGCTGACCATGCCTGACATTGTGGATCTGCCGCCGGTGATGGCATCTACGATTATAGCGCCACCGAAGGCGTTGGAGATACCGATCAAGACCTGAGCGGCAGCTCTCAGACTTGACGTCCACATACGCAGTGGGCTCTCTGCGAGTCTTTGCATGCTAGGCACGCACTTTCCGTCAACGGCAGCAAGCTTCTGATATTGCGTGTAGTCCTTGGACCGAAACAGCGGCAACATCTGGGAGCTGTTGTGGCAGCTGCTAGAGGATGGTCTTCCTGCTCTCTGTGACAACGCCTGTGGGTCTTCCTTGAAAAGTCAGTCGATCCTCCTTTGGTACGAGAAAGGAAATTGAAGGATGTGAAAGCAGTTGCCCTCCACCTGTACGGGTCCACACACTATGATTCGAAGGCAGCCCCTGCTACACTCCCAAGGAGTCTCAACGGACTGGCTTCTGCCTAGCCAAGAAGCATGTTCGGTTGGTATGGTGTCCAGCACCAAATCGAAAGATTGGCATGCCGCTTGCATTTGCTCCGGAGACATGGATGAGATGAATCCTGAGAACTCCACGGGCTGTGCCGCTCCTCTATGCTATGTCTCATGTCAGCTCTGCTCGGATGTTGCAGCTAGTTGGAGCATGTGTGATGGCGCGAAGACAGCGACGCTTACCGATAGAAAACAGGCCACTTCCCATGCCCGTTACAATCAAGGTCCGTCACTAGCTGGCACGACGTGTAACTTTGCATCAAGCCACCATCTGCACCACTCTTCTCCGCCAAAGCTTTCTTCTTCTCGCCACGAGAAATGGCCGTGACCTGGCAGCCCATGGCCTGCCACGAGATTTTACGTGGACATCTTCTCGTGGGCGGGAACCCAGAGTTTGCAACCGGCCTAAAGCCCATACCGACGAGTACGCTTCTCCCTCTACCAAACACGACGAACAAGGCAAAGAGTGAGACACACCGCATGACACCATCTCATGGAAGATGGAACTCAACATCCGCAACGGTGTGGGAAGCCGACGGGCCCGCAAGCACATCGCTTCACACTGCCCAAGCCAGGTTTCGGATCGCTTTGTGGGGCTGTGTGACATGGGACATCAGATTCGCCTTGGCGACTTTGATTCCAGTCCTAAGCTGCCAAACTGCCAAACTCTTGGCAAGTCAAGTTAAGAGTAACGGCTGTCCGCTCTACTGAAGTGCTAAGACTTGCCACAAGGACACTGCTGCAAAACTTTGCGATGCACACCACGAGCATGCAACGATTGCACAATAATGCGAGGTTCAACGACGAAGAAGCTTGGGCATTGGAAGCATGCTCATGAACAGCAGAGACTTTGACCACACATGCGGAATGAGGACACAGAGGGATGAATGATAAAGATGTAAGATAATACCGACCGAAAGGTTCACAACTTTTACAGACATGACCATGACTCGCAAAACAACTATGAACATCCAAAGCAGACAGTGCAGAGAAGAAGTACAACATGACGTAGAGAAACGAATCTGAAACAACAAGCGAAACACGGGGACACAGCACTTTGGATATGTTCCTCATGAGTTCATGACGTTGCTGCTGTAGATATGAACGTCGCTGGCTTCTTGATTCTTGATTGCTGACGGCTGTGTTGGTAGCATTTGCATCCAAGTGTCATGCCCAAACCTCCCAAGCCGACAACTGCCACCTCAGATCTTCCAGACCCTACCGTACTAGTCGAAAGAGTGAACCCCACTGGTGACCCCACTTAACATCAACAAAACCCTGTGACAGTGATGTCATGTGATGTCCATAGGCAATACGTAATTTTGGTTGAAGCCGTTGACGACGTGCTTTCGTTGACGCCGTTGACGCCGTGACGCCGCGCCTGTGACGCCGTTGATGCCACTGACGCCGTGGACGCCGGTGACACTCTTCTTGATGCCGTTGACGCCGCTGACGCCGTTGACGCCGCTGAAGCCGTTGATGCCGTAGTTTTGGCTGACACCGTTCACGTCTTCACGCTCTTCGCGTCTTCGCGCAAAAACTGACATCTTCGCAGATTAGAGGATTTATGGGGCCCTAAACCCTATATGTCCAAGGGACCCAACAGGCAGACCCTCGGGCTTCGGATCTGGAAACCTTGAACTCCGAAAATGCATGGAGCTTTGGACTGACGGGGTCCCTTTGATTTTTGAAGCAGGTCTAGGACAAACCTTGGACTCTGAGGATGGAGCCTTGGGCTGATGTCGCGCCCCTGGTTGTTAAAGCCGAACTCTTACAAACTTTGATTTCCGAGGATTGAGCCCTGGACGAATGGCGCGTCTCTGATTTCCAAATCACAACTCTTACAAACCTTGAACTCCGAGGATGGAGCCTTGGACTGATTGGGAGCGCCCCGGGTTTCTAAAGCATATTTCTTATACAAACCCTGAACTGCATGCGAGGATGGAGTCTAGGACTGACGGCGCGCCCCTCTTCTTTTTCCCATCAGAAATCAGAACTCTTACAAAGCTTTGAACTCCGAGGATTGAATACAGACACCGTTGACGCCGCTGACGCCGTGACGTCGCCGCGCAAAACTCGCGTCGTCATGTCGTCGCGACAAAACTCACATCGTCGCGTCGTCCTCCCCAAAAGTATGCACCGCTACGGCCATCAATGAAAACCCTGGATGGGTGCGAGCCTTGCTGGACGGACCAGCCTTCCAATAACGCAAGGGTTCATACCTCGGATGATACGGCCTCTGCTGCAGTAAGTGGCAAGGAGGTCATGCTTCGTCCGATCGGAGCTAAGGCTATCCATTGTAAGATGCCAGAGGTACATGGTGACACCTGCACACATCACCGGACCAGCACTTGCCAATGGATAGTTCTTGGGAATGAGGATTGCAAAGTGCTCGTGCACCTTGGTCGAAAGCTCTTGTAGACTCTGACCGCTTGCTATGTTGGATTAGCCTCAACATTTCCAAACCAGGGCTGGCACCACCATCTTGGTGCAATAACCTCCCATGGTTACTCCACCGGTTGGATACGTCGCAGCTCGGCCGTGCAGGTCCTGGCAAGTGCTTGGCACACAAGGCACCTCTCCTGCACCACGCTCTTCGAGATACCCATCAGGCCGACTTGTTGAATGTATCAACTTCCCAGCAGATGAACGAACAGCTGCCGGGAACATGCAGATGCAAGGCAGGAAGCGGAAGTTACCCTGCTTGCTGCAGCGGGACAACAGGTGCATCTGGACCTCCTACCTGTATCTGCGCTCTTTTGCTTGAACAGCTGTCCTTCCCCTGATATGTGGCTGTGTTCTGCTTGCGGCACCTGTCCCAAGCACATGCAATGTCGACAAGCCGATGTGCATGACTCTATGTGAGTATGCATGCAGCGCACTCTTGCTGTATGCATAGTGCGTTTGCTTATTGTCGCAGTCAGCGAGGCCAAAATTGCATGAGACCGAGCTGAGGAGCAGGTTCTCATTGCCCTTCTTGCACCCCGTGCACTTCATGCAAGAGTCCACCATGCAGCCGACGCCCACATGGTCACCTAATTGGGAGCGCATATGTCGCTTCTACAACCTGAACGGGCGGGCAGACAGACTTCTAGGCCAGACTCCATATATCCAAGGCTATCAGCACTTGCACTCTCTCTGCAGCAAGGCTAATCGCCGACACAGTTGCCAACCTTGACCTTGGTCACCTTGGATCCAACTCTAGTGCACCTTGGCTGATAAGGTCAATGTCGCGCAGCCAAGGACTGGGCGTTCGTACATTTTCGCACAAACCATTACAAGTCATGAAATCCAGAAAGAGCTGCCAAGCTTTGACGGATGCCGAAGCATTGTGATAGATTCGTGCTACAATAATGCGATTTCATGACTTGCTCGTGAATTATCAAATTCACTTAATCTGCGAGCTTCGATTCGGTCCGCCTAGCCGGAACTCACACCCCTTTCCCGAACTCCCACAAGATGCTGTCACGGTAGGCTATCAGACTATCACTCGCAGTTTCAAAGAAGCAGCTTAGGTAGATAGTGTTTACAACTCGAAATTCCTCATGAAGTCTTCAGACGAGGGACACACCTACTAGTTCATGGCCTGGAACGCATGGGTACACAGTCGGCTGCAGACCTGCCACGCGTATCAGGTGGAGCTCAGGGGAACGCTATTCTTCACGGTCGCGCCTCCAACATGGTTCGCTGCGATGTGCAAGTCCGTGTGACAAACCCCACCTCAGTGGCAGACGCAACACTGCTTGAAATTCAGGCTTGAAAGAGACAGATTCTGTGGAAGAAGGAGAAGAAGGATTGTTCGAAGACCCGCTGAATGCGCTACACGTAAATTCACAGTAGACATTCGCCGGAGACCGGCCACAGTAGACCATGTCGATCAGCACATCCTCGTCTCCGAGAGGACGCCTCTTCATCTTCATGGGCTTGAAGTCGCAAGACGGGTCTTTGCAGGCCATGACCATCATGTCCACGGGCTCAGCCATGACGCTTGGCGGTCTGTGCCTTCAGTTTCCCTTATCTGAGCCGACACGCCTCCCACTGCAGGTTTGTGCCAGGTGCAGTTCAATTTGCAAGCGCTCCAGTCTAAAACATTTGGACCGATGTCGCTGCGCATTGACAGCTCGCGACTGACAGCAGCTGGCCTCTGGGGCTTTGGCAATCCGGCATCGCATGAAGTACCTTTGCCAGCACACTCCCAGGTGTCAGAGAGGAGCCTACTCTGGCCCTTGAAGATGGCTTGAACTGCAAAGAGCATAAACATGCCTTGTCGAGCAGCAAAGAGTCAGCAGCAACCGGGTCAACGAGAGAATCACATCAGACTTCCTACGGCTCCGAAACCACGTCACAGCATCAAGATGATACATGATTCTGTAAGGTGATGCACGCCTTCGGCGGTCAAGAGGTTATACGTCCCTGCCGTTCACGACGGTGCTCTTGGTACACGAGCAAAACTCCAAATCCAGTCGCCGACATGACAAACTCGAGCAGAGTTGTGACAATCGTCAAGTTTGGGATTGTGAATGCCATGTGCTGTAGGCGAACTGTTGCAGGGTCCCGGCTCTCCAGAAACCTGGACGCTGGGCGAGGCGGCCACGAAGGTGGTGCAAACCTGAACTGTCCGATGGCACATGTGATACGAACCGTTTGGGAAGGCTGGAATGCGAATGCGTATGCATGCACGAGCATTACACTGTTCCACTCTTTGTCACAGAGTGCTTTAGAACGACGACTGCTTCGCTGCTGTTTCAATCAACATTTCATCACACTCATGCCCATGGCAAAGTAACCTTGCCGACGTTGCAGACGACTAGCAGTCTCCACAAGTTCTTTGGGCTGCAAGTGGCACCAACACTGCCTCTGGCAGACCTGCATCTCTCCGTAAAACAATCTTCGCGAGTCCGTTCAAAATTTCTCTCGGATCGGGAGCCCGCCGACAAATACCGCCACGAAGCATTTCAACAAAGTCTTTGAACGAGCGGTCCACAACCAGTGCCTAAGCAGCTCCTGCACCTGCCAAATTGAAGGGGAAGGTTGCAAGAAACCTCACCTTGCGCCCAGCGCCGGTCAGGACAGTATGATCGCGGTAGCGTTCACGATGACTGGAAGGGGATTTCGCAGGGAACATATCCATACGGCCATATACGGTTGCTCACCAGCATCCCGCAAAGTGTCCAGCAGTACATGTGTCTTGCAAATCTGTTACTTCCGGGATCGTTCAGGAACAACGGGCGTGACTAATTTTTAAGCCCAACAAAATCATTATCCACCTTTTTTTTCGATGTTTTGTCGTCATCTTTGATGCTTAGCTGCCACATGCTGCCATCATGAGCATCATGTTCTTCTTCCTGTAGCATCATGTTTACAGCTTTTCGTTTTCACGCGCGTCCTGGGATGTCTGAGTTGCAAGCTGCACCCATGGCCGGCGTCTTGAAAAACAGCTGCGCCAGAGGACGCAGCGCCGCATACAACCTAAGTGTCTGCTGTGAATATTAGTAGATTTGCTGGCAGTTTGGGTGGGTGGAAACCTCAGACAAGGATGGCAGCAGCAGTGGAGCCTGGGGCACGCTTGGACACTTAGGGCAAGCCACGTGAGCACCACCGGGTGGAAGTCATTGAACACCTCGCAGGAGCGATCAGTAGCGCAGAACCTGTAAGGAGGGGCAAGCTGCTTACTCTGAGGTGCGTGGAATGTCGCGTGTAGTGCTCACGATGATGCACCTGCGTGAGAACTTCACCGGGATGCACGCAGTTCACCTGACTCCGGGCTCGCTCGAATCACCACGCTAAGGTCGACATGTCAGATGCCGGGCTCCTTGGCTTTATCTGACGTCTTGTTGCAGATGAGTCACCAGAATCCTCGGGCAAAGTTCCATGGCATCTCTCACTCGCTAGACAGTCTCAACGGGCTCCTGCTGCCACGCTGGCGCAAGCGCCACGCCAGCTGCCGGCACATCATCAGGTTCGCCAGCTTGGACCTTGTGCTTTGGCAGGCTTGCCTTCGAAAAAATTGCTCCAGTTCATCACTCCATGGGAAGGCCGAATAACATCGGCCAATTGAAGGGCAACTAAGTGTTTCCAAATCCCTTCTCGCAGCAAGCTGCGGAAAAAAGGGAGAAGCGCCATCGCCTGAGCCTGCTGCTGGCCGTAAGCTCGAAACAGGGAATAAGGCTTGGCCTGCGCAGCAGAGGAACATCAACCTCATTTCCTCAGGTTAGGTTCTCCTCTGCTGCAAAGCTGTGGGACCGGGCCAGAAACACTTCCCGCATCGAGGGGTCGGCGGCGCAAACCAGCTGGCAGCGTTCAAGATTGAGCAAAGCCACCGAGACGCTCAGCCGACCTCGCTGAAGTCGAAGACATCGTGCGCGTAGCAAATGTTCGAACCTCACGGCCGAGCCTTCTCTCGGCTCCCGGCCTTGTCATACCCATTGCTCAGTCCTTGTCGCTGAGGTCCCAGCCTAGCACCACAACCTGTAGGCACTGCGACAAATGGATAGCGAACTGAGACTCTGAAAAAGTCAACTCGAAAGCGTGGTGCCTTCGGCTGCTTGCCCACAGCCTGCACCAGAGTTTGGCAAGGCTGCATTTGGACGCTTGCATGTGCCTCCAGTTGAAGGAGGTCCGGGAGCAGCAGATTCACCTTAGAGTACAGGGTCCGGACGAGAGAACGGGCCAAGGGCCTGAACGGCAACAGCCACTTTTCAGCAAGAAGGCATGCCGGCATCTATCTCCAGCAGCTGCGAGTTGACAAAGCTTCACTACCCGAGTTCAGAAGTTATTGGTCATGCACACTGATCACTGGGCTTCGGCATGTAGATGCATGTAGTCAATCGCAAAGCAGCAGCTGAGATACCAAATCAAGATGCATCCGGGCAGTCGAGCTGTGCGACCTCAATGTTCTCGGGCTGGCCAAGCGCTTTCTAGAACGCAAACTGCAAGGCGCTGCAAGCGGACTGCACAGAACATCCTGACTGGTCAAGAAGAACCGAAGGGTCCTAAGGTGAATTTATGACTGGCTTCGCCAGTCTAAAGGGTGCACCGTAAAGTCGAGCCAACGCTCTCACTTTCTTGTTGCTGCGAGTCTAAGAATAAGCGGCGTCCAGTTTTTTTCTCGAAGTCGAAGGACCCCCCCCCACACATTGACACGTACTCACCAAACCTCGGGACTCCCTTTATTACGGTCTGGCCGATGAACGTTCATCCGGAAACGCTCTGAGTCGGGATTCTCTGAATCTCCCCCCTTCCTCGCTCGCACTCTGATTCGCGGGAAAGCGAGGAACTGTAATTAACGGCCTGACACATGCGGGCGTTTTTCTGTCTGGCACAACTGCCGCTCTATCAAAGAAGTCCCCCGTCCGCTATTTCCCTTGTCTCCCTCGTTTTAAGATTGAATCTTGGGTGGCTTGGTTTGATTTGGAAGGATCCGACAGGACCGCCAGGGTCTACCCTGGTGTGTTTGGAGGCTGGGAGATCTGCGAGACCGTGAGAGAGCAAGAGGCTGAGCACGTGTACTGCAGAGAATTGCATGGATATCCGGGAATTTTTGTTGGTTCAACCTTGCCTTCCTGTGTCCCTGCAAAGGTTCTCACATTGCGAACAAGTATGGTTTGGACTTTGCTGGTCGTGCAGCGGCGCTTATGCTTTGTTGTCGCCACCAAATGCGCATTGAAATCTGAAAGTCCCATCACATCCACCCCCCACAGGCGCCACAACAGCTTTCGACACCGCTGCCCTTCTGCAAGTCTCCTTGCCTCCGTGCAGGCACATGGCACTGCAACGGCAGGAATGGTTCGAGCTTAGCCGACCCCTGGAAGCATGAGTGACGTCAGGCCTGTTCGGGCATTCGGGGTTTGGGATGCAGGAGAAGGGGAGTGTGCAGCACTTCGGGCTGACTTCTTTGCATCCGCTAGCTATCGCTAGCTGCTAGCTGCGAGGTGCTTATTCGAGAGATCATGGCCCAACTTCCGTGTGCTAAACAGATCGGCAGAGTGCAGAACACAAGTGTCCCTGTCGATTGCCTGCCGCAAAAATGCTACACCACCCGAGTGGTCACGAATACGCGAAAACAAGGCAAGGCATTGGCAGCTCTGAGACCTAAAGGTGCCTGAGTTGATGCAATCAGTCAGCCTTATGGCAGCTGATCAAGCAAAGCAATTTGATAGATCGGTAGACAGACAGACAACCTATGCTTCTAGCACCAATTCTGTATCGTGTCTCATAGCTACCACGCCTCTAAAGGGGGAGCATTTAGGATGTACCGAAAAAGCACATGCAAGAAAAGTGGAAATGCTCAAACGACATACAAAGCGGCAAAGGGCTCCGAGCGCTTCGGAGGCACTTTGCTGCCGGATTGGCCCACAACTCGCGGCCTCCGCCCCAGAAATTACACCCCCGCCCCCCTCAATGCCTACGTGCCGCCGTACCGATATGGTCGACGGGGCCACGAAACATACCTCATAAACCGTCTGTGAAGTTCAGGGTGAGGCAGGCTGAAGTTCAAGAGAGCCTTGCAACACTTGGCCGAGTCATCCTGATGACTCTGCTCCGCTATGCTTTCAAAGCCCACATCATCCTCGCATCTGGCACTCTGATCAGCTGGCTGCACGTCTGACTGCAATGATAGAACATTGGCTTAAAGGAGCGAAAATTGTCGACAGGCACTGTGGGAGGATGCTGTTGGCCAGTCTTTCGCACGAGCCACGAAAACGGTTACAAACCTCTAGCTGTATTCTCTCAACGAGATTCGGCAGAATATGGGTCGGTAATATGGCTCGTGTAGCCAGGCGCAGCGGTTTCTGTAGCCACATTCCATACCTCAGGAGTCGATGCATCCGGCTGAAGGCTACGAGGCTGATGACACTTTCGAACGCTTCCAAGCCCCTGATGACATTCTATTCCACAGATGCAGCTTGCAGGTGCACGCAGACACGATTTTTCAGGACAAGGCACCAGAATGGTTTGACCATGACCAGCGAGTGCTTTGCTAGACCTCCTTAGATCCACAAGCGCGCTCTTTGCACCGATCGAGTCGAACAGGGGCCCAAGGCAAAAGTACCACTCTCCTTTATTGTAGCCGTGAATCCAGTCCAGCCGGGTCATGGAGGGCACAGAAATCTCCAAACCAAGCAGTTGAAAGACTCGACTACTGACTACTGTGTCACAAGAGTGTTCGGACATGGGCTTACAGTAGCTGGACTCCTGTTCCAGGAGACATGAGAGGCTTATGAGTTCTGCGTGGGAACTTGCACATCATAACCTGGAGGCAGTCCAGAAAATAAGCCTAGTCCGAGACGTGCCGCGCTAAATGCACAGTGTCACATGAAAGCCCGATTGGGGCACATCAACGTGACATGGGAGGCGAAAGAGTCTGGACTACGGATGCGCTGCTCGAGCAGCTACCAACTACATCGACAGCGTCAAAGCAACGCCGGTTGGCACAACCAGCACACCGCTGCTCTCCAAGCAGAAGTCGACATGCTGCGAGGCCATTACCGAGAAAGCCCAGGTATGTCACCCACGGGCGTGTACAGCTTTAGGGTTGACAGGACCTGGAATGCCCCATTTGGAGGAAATTTCCAAAAAGCCCTGATGCAAGGACGTCCTAACCTCTAGGGATTGAACCCGGGTTACTTGCCCTGGTTCCTCCCCGGGTGGGTTGCCTTTGCTCAGTGCCCCCAGGAAGGCAAAGCCATTCTCAACAATAACAGAATAACATCGAGAGGACTCCAACCGACAGCTAGCTTCTGTCATGAAGTGTATCATCCCTCTATCTTCGCCTTCCTCAGAAGCCGGAAGTGAAGCTGACCACTGGCGTGACTTTACCTGCCGATGCAGTGCATCCAACTTGGACCGTCTAGACAGAGCAGGGTCTCACTTCGATTGCACACTAGTCATTTCCACTCGCCTGGGGAGCACTGGCTTATGAAATCGTCGCGCGATATGCTGATCAATATTCTGGGGAGGCTGGAGATGCTACCATTCGTATAGAGCTTCTCTGCTTGAAACTGCTGAAGCACCAGTCCCGCACCTCTATTCGCAGAGCGATTGGATAAGGGCAGCTCGTGGCCCTGGATAGAGGCAGAAACTCGAGAGCGACCTGGTAAAGCATCAAAGTTCAGCCTGAAACCTCAACACACCGACTCGTTGCTGTGCACGGGCGCGAAAGCGATTCCCAAGCTTGAAAGATCTTGAAACCACTCGCCAACAGACTGAAAGCTGCTTCCAGGGAGCATTTCTCCCAGTATAAGCTTTGGAAGATGTATCTGCAGGAACCACGTTGTGGGGCAGGCAAACGGTGTCATCATCGGAGTCCTGCCAATCAAAAAGATGTACATTGACTTCTTATGAGATGCATTTCGAAGCCACGTTCCCGACACTGTTCAGATCTTCTGAGTCATTTCTACGACGTCTACGAGCGTCTACGGTTGCAGTGGACACTGGTCATGACATGCCGTTCGACTTGGTAGCGACTTCAGGCCAGGAAGCCCAAATCAAGGAAGCAACGGGATCTGAGAGCGGCAGTTGCATATATAGCCCTGCAGGTCCAGGTCCAAGCCTTCCTCGTCGCTGTCATACACTTCCTCGCGATGTGTGCTGAACAGTGATTCCTCGACAGTTGCCGACTCCGCGCTGGACCTCGTCAACTTTCCGGATCGGCTGGCGCGGAAGAGGAAAGCTGTGGCCTGTGGCCCCTTTGCGACAGGAGTCCGCAGGCAAGAACTCACTAGTTATGCTCTGCGACTTGTTCTCGCACACAGGCACTCTCTTCCGATTTGATGCATATGTCTTATGCCAATCGATTATTCGATCAGAGCTGCTCATCTTTTTGACACCATCTCGCTTGCTGCTCCCACGCATCTTCACCATGTCCTGCTGACAAGTAGGTGCTCAACAGCGTCAGGGGATGCTTTGGTGGCCCAACCACTCTGAGACTTGCCTTAGCTGCCGAGTCCAAGTTACCACCGACACTCAAAATAACGTGAGTCCCTGCATGGACCCAATGCGTGCGTTCTACGAGCGTCCTGCACTGCCTTGAGGAGCTTGAAGTTCCCAAACTTGGAAGCCGTCTTCTTGGGATGTGCCTGGCAGCTTCGCAAAGGCTTGCTGCAAGCATTTTGGACATGGTGTAAACGTGCAGTGGAGTTCACCCCTTTGGTGCCTCCTTTGGCTCGGGCACGGGCTTGGCGTTGCGAACAGGCTCGTTGCCCGACACTTCCTACCCACAACGGCACGAGCTCACCTGTGTGTCCCCTTTAGACCCCTTCCGAGCATGCACCTCGCATTGTGACCGGACGTCCCCGGACATGCCCGGCCTGACTGAAGTTGTTGTCAAGCGCAGCCTTGTATCCGACCGGCTAGGCAGACCGGGGCACAAAAGAAACAGTCGAGTGAGCCTCTATCAAAGAGCCCGAAATTTCTCTGACCTGATTGGGTTACTCTCCTTACGTTCATCAGCTCAGAGCCCGAGTCAGCATGGAAAGTGCAACGAAACTGGGAATTCCTCGAAGACAACAGGACAGAAGCAGTCGCCTCAAAACTCCAGGAGTCCCTTTCTTTGCCCGCCGAGGTGCCGTCTCCTCCGTCGTCGGCCGGTAGACCAAAGTGCCGTTACTCTCCGTTCCTGGCTTCGGGAGTCTTGCAACAGCTTGCGAAATGCTTGCAAGGCTTTCGCTTTCGCTTTGTGCAAGCAGGTGCTCCGGTAGGTGCCGCTGCTTCCTCGATTGGCATCTTTCCTCGCCGAAGACACAACGAGCAGTGGATCTTGCTTGCTATGAACAAGATGGTCTCCCAATGCAGCTGCGGCTCGCGCCGACTTGAGGACTGCATGCCGGATGCTGTTGAGCTGCCTGGGCTTGTGCAGAGCGGCCAGTGTGGGGTGATCTCACATAAAAACCTGGGTCAACATACGTACAGCACTGCCGGACGACCTGTCGATTTTGCTAAGTTTACTCGTCGGGTCAGTTAAAGCCGGATTCGATGAGTAAACTCAAGGAGCATTGACTGCACAGAGAATTACGGAACTGTGAGAGGTCCAGGCCCACTTTGGGCTCAGCTCGGACCTAATTGACTGCAGAACAAACCAGCTGCAGGATGACGAAAAGCTGACGCTAAAGGTTCTTGCAGAGCACTCCCAACAAGCCACAACAGCATGATTCTGTCGCCACCCATGATCCAGCAGTCCAGGATCTTACGCTCATGGCTCTTTATGCTTCTGCTGATTTCTACTACGCAAATTGAAGCCAGGTATCTCAATCTGGCACTGCATGAATGCTGCCTCTCACAACGAGAGAGGATTCTGCAAAATCTATCCCTTCCCTGCTTTTGCACATGCTCTTTCGGCCTCGCTCTCCTCGCCGGCAGCGTTGCTACAGTGCTCCAGGACACCTCGGAGGTCAAAAGGCAAAGTCATGCTGCACCTGCAGACAAATCGGCTTCAGGTTTTTGCATTCCACTACCGTTCCTGACTTATGCACGCACAAGGCCGGGGGTCGGAAACGAGCAATGCCAGGTTTGCCTCGCGAGCGCCTTGCGAGAAAAACCGCTGAAAAACGTCCCACCGGCGAATTTGAGTCTGGGAGGGAAAGCGCCACTCTACAGCAGCCATTTGCGATGGCGTCCACAATGAATTTGCAAGTCGTTGCGGGATTTTGCAGCGGTCTCGAGCCGCTCAGTGGGTCAGGTGGTAATTTTACTCTGGGATACAAGACATCTTGCCCAACCGCATGTGCAACGCATACACCGTGCAGCCACAAATTCATGTAAAGTAGACGTTACCGACCTGACTATCAAACCTGACGTCATCATCATCCGAACACATACTCGTGTGAAGCTTCTTGCGGCATCGCGGCTCAAAGTGCTCATAAGTGTCCTCGAGATGCGGAGACGTGCTCAACAAGGCACAGCCCAGAGTTCTAGTCGAATACACACAGTGAACCATCCGTTCTTGCCTTTCCACGGACTTTACCAAGTGTCGTCAGTTGGAGGTCAAAGCGGCCCATTTCCAGGTTGCAGGCGAACCTGATGCAGGCTCACTCACCATCCACATAGACGGAGAATTTGACGTGCGTAGCCGTCATCCGGCACGAAGCATGTTTTGCTGTCGAAAAATGAAGCTATCGTCCGAAGCAAACTTCACTAATAGTCTCTGCGCCAAATACCCCTGCCGCACTGGTTAGATTTTGGAAGCTCGGTGGCCATCTCAGCAACTTCGGAGGTTACAAGCTCAGCAGTGCGTGCTCATACGGAAACACGATATCCAGCTCCGCTGCTCGCTGTCTACAATCTCTCGTGTAGGCATTGGCTAAGCAACAGCGGCCCAAGGAAAGATTCGTCAGCAGACCCACTGCATGTCAGGATGCAGGCAGCAAGTATGTTTAGAAGGAGCTCCTTCAGTGGCACCAGAAGGCGCGAATTGTATGAGCAGGGGAGCAGCCATATGCCATCGAGCACAGGAGCCCATTGGCAAAAGGCTCCGTTCGTGAAACCGAGATTCGCTCAAGAGGTTCCTGACCCCTCTTCTTGTAGCATGCGATCTTGGGATGCAGGCCAGTGATTGATAAACGAAACAGGGTTGCGAACCCTAACCCCAATCCCCCAAACTCTCAACCCCGAACTCCCAAACCCCAGGTGGACACAGACCCAGCATCATGAGCATCAGCGGGGCCCTGGGGCAAACATCAAATGGAACATGAGGGCCATTGAGACTGTGGGTATTTTCCTCTCTCGCCCACGGGCCCGCCCCTTGCCAATATAGCCTGTGCAAGACTCGGTGGCTAGCTTTCGTGATTTGCACAGCTCCCATAGTCCCCTCCCAACCGCCCTAACCCTGCACAACACCTTCAGAGCCAACTGCTTCTATCTCGACAGCACTTCCAAGCCTCTTTCTTCCAAAATTAATCACGAACTTCACTTGCATGGGCATGTTGATGTCAATGTCCTGGGCTTGGCAGATGAGAATCTGCTGACTCAGCATGAACATCGACCTTCAGCGGCCGGAAGGTTGCCAGCCAAGGGACGTTATGCCGGTCGCTGCTCGGCATCGTAGTTGCTTGTCTGTGGCTTTGCCACTTTCAGACAGCCGGAGATTGAAGTGCTATCCGCTATCTACAATCTGAACCAAATCTGTGCCAGGAGGTAAATTGGTTAGCTTCATCGGGTGTGTCAGACTTAGATGTTCCGCCTCCCTGCGGCAGCTGACCCCACCACTTCCCTCGCGTTGCCCGAGACAGGGAACCGGATGAGCCGAAAAGGTCATGAATGCCAGACGATCCCTGCAAAATTCTGAAGCTCCAAGCTGTGTTGCTGTGTCGCAGCGGGCACGTGCTCAGGTTTCACTCGCATCGCTGCGTCTGAGTACCGCCTAAAGCACCTAAAGTTGCCACTCTCAGATGCGGCTCAGCGCCATCGCAGCGGACCGGTACAAGCTGCCACAGACAAAGCACGCAACCTTCCCAAGGAAAGAGGAATTCTCGACCTACACTGACCTACACTGGCAAAGGCACAAATCAAGCACAATCCCGGCGCCTGTTTCTGGCTAAGCTCCTGCTCTGTCCTGAGATCTCGTTTCGCTAGAGCGATGCACAGCTAGTCCACACGTTAGACTCCAGCCTCGAGCAGCTATGCTTCACACATGCTCCGTTCTTCCGACTACAGCCGCTCCCCCGCATGCCCGCAGAAACTCGCACGAGTAGGCATTTGGCGGCCATGACTGGTTCTCTCGCCAAGCTTCCGGGAGACGCTCGCCTCAGACCAAGGCCAATCTGTGCTGACCCCGGACAGCTCTTACGTTGCATAGCCGTTTGGGAGGCTCGAGGCTGTTCGAAGTGAGCTTTGCATGGCACCACCCAGGAAGGCGCAGGGAGAGCGGAGCACCAGAGCTGGTGATTTTGCCAGGCGGCTGTTGTTGACGAAGCGTCGTCCAGCAGATCCTCGGCCTGACAGCATGAGAGGCACAGGTGCCAGTTGCTTTAACACCGATCCGTCCCGAAGGCCCAAAGAGCTGTCAGTCGTCCCAGCAATTGCCGAGGTCTCAAGATCTCTGCAGCTCGGCGCACCGACTCGTAGATAAAGCGGATCGATATCTTGCCATGCACTGTATCACACAAATCGGCATCCGCCAGATCCTGAGCTGTTAAGCCGTCGACACTTAGATCCGGGACGCAAAGGAGCTGATTGAGTCAACGTGCATGTCTCACGACGGACTCTCGAGCAAACGGACATATCGGTTCGTAGCTTCGCAGCCTTTTTGAAGATAGTTGAAGATCCGGCAGGGAGGAGTGAGGCAAAGGCCCCGTTACCGGAAGTAAGGAAGGAGACCGGGGGCAAGCCGCAAGTCGGGCGTCAAGTTTGAGACATGCAGCAGACCGGTTTGCAACACCAAAGGCTGATCATGGAATTTCATAGCTTGCAAATCTTGGTGGTTAGAAGCCATGGACAAATGTACAGCTGGCGGCAATGGATCCTTGTGAGGACTTGAGGCTAAGGAGGGCCAGCGCGGAGCACCGCACGAACAACTAAGCCCAAGTCGACGGGTCCCTGCATGATCCACGTCATTGGAACCTGCCACACAGCCCGCTACGGGCTCGAGATCGGCCACACAGCGGTCTCTGGACATGTATGGAAATGCCAGGGCTGTTTCTCCGAGCAGCAGAGAGCCGCCCTAGAAAGTCGTCGTTGCCACGTAGGGTTTTGAGGTGATCCTGCGGGTTCGGCTGCTTCTCTTGAAGTAGCTCTCCACGTGTGTGTGTGTGCTGATGCTCTAGGCAAGTCTCATGCACAAGCCCTACGTGGTCCTCATCCCAAACCGTGACTTGGACTTCCTGGCTGTGATGTGCCTTAGGCATTGACGTGCCAAAGCTGCCTGCACTCGAGTGCCTACGTTGCACCGGCCGGTTCAGTGTGAATGAGTCTGAAGTGCTGGGTTCAGCTGAGACACCTCATGCACAGGCAGATACAACAAGCAGTTCCAGACGGGATTTCGTGTCGTCGGAATCGTTGCCTCAGGTCGAGGACACTGTCTTCAGAGCGATCTTGCCTGGCCTGCAGCACCCTGAGTTCCAGACCGTGCGCTTGACGCAAAGCCCCAACTTCACGGTGACGTAAGGATCCGATTTCCCGTTCCTCGGCTTAAGGCTTTTTACAGCCGGAACCCGATCGATTCCAGAGAAATATGCATAACAAAAATATACACATCACCCTCCGGCACCGCTCTGCGACCGCTACTCACAAAAATCGGCTGAGGCTCCAATCCGCAGCTATCAGGTTCTCTGCTCTGAGGACCTGAATGCGAAGACGTCCTCAGGACCAGACAGGCACAGGCACACAGGAGGGCATAGGACTGGATGGCAAAGGGCACAAGGCAACTTTAGAACTTCGTCTGACTGGATTTCGGCCGGCGCTTGGCTGCTTCGAGGACTGTGTCATTTGGCCCTCGCCTTCCGTGCCAATGTCACCGGCACCCGGCATCGTCTGGACAACCTGGCAAGGGCCACAAAGTGGTCGGTTTGCGTCCAGGGAGGCGGCCTGGGGAGAAGCGCCTTCTCGTAGAGGAACATGAGCTGTCGCTCGGCGTAAGTGTCAGCAGACCTCACTTGCGCTTCAGCTCGGACTTTCGAAGTGACATATTCGCACCCTCCCGGCCCTTCTGTGAATTCCCTCAGCGAGGCCGAGCCCCTGGCACACAGGAAGTCTTCTCGCCTGTGCCTTGGGCAACGCGGAGAAGGTTCTCTGCCTCGCAGTTTGAGCACTCCCGGGACTCAACCCATCGACTGGACTCCTGCTGCCTGCTTCTTGATGCTGTACTTGATGGAGAAGTCAATGATACCAACAAAGTACACCTCGGCGCAGTCCTGGCAGCAGCTCGACTCGCCTAGCAATTGCACTCGAGGCTTGCCGCAGCCTTGAGTCTTTCCTGCCAGTATCTGTGAGACCCTTTTTTGACTGCAGCTTGTTGGGGGTTGCATGTTGTCCAATTCGACTCTTTCCACTGATGCATGTTCTTTTGCCCGAACAAAACGCCATTCCCTTCTGATGACTCTGGGCTCTCTCCTGGGCCTGCTGAACCTTTCTGTGGCTAGAGTCGTTTCGGGGAGCCTGTCCTCCGACACCAGATACCCATCGCCCCAGCCCGGAGAAAGCGGAAAATCCTGCCGTCACAGGGCATGCTGAATCCCGCCGACCGTGAATCTAGTCATCTAGCCATCCAGCAAGGTGTTTACATGAGATCTGACTGTTGGCCTGCACATCGCGCTCGGCGAAGTGAGTTCCTCGAGTATCGAACATTCACGCACGCCGGTTCCACCTGCCTACAAAAAAGACCTGCTTGCTTCCTTCTAGATGTCTGAGTGTTGCACCGAGGAGAATGGAGTAATCCATCATCTTAAAACTTTCCAATAGCCTGAGTTGCTCAAGCAACTGTGCACGTGCGATAACGGAAATCTGCCCGTCCTTCAGACATGTTGGAGCACCATGTGTGCACTATGCACTTCTGAGTGCAGGCGAGAGTCTGCAGGTCTACCTCGACTTGAGCTGCAAACTGCCGTCGCACCTGGGCTGGGGCCGAGTTCGAATTCGAGGCCGTTCCACAGGACACAGGACCGGTCATGGCAGCCATGGCACAGCCGTCGGCAAGTGAAGGCAGCGCTGGTCTTCTACCCAATCCTGGGAGCCGCCACATGACGAGACTTCTCGGGGCTCTCGAGTGCCCAGCCTGGTCTTTGCCGACAGACTCTCCGGGCTTGGACTTGCCTCTGCGGGAAGGAAAAGTATGAAAAGTTCAAGGCGAAAGCTGCACTCAGCAGAGTCGCTTGCTTCTTGGGCCCCGACGCTTGTGCAGAGAGCCCTTGAGGTCGAACTTCAAGTGCACCTGTAGCCTCGCGTTTGCAGAAACCCGAAATCCTGCTAAATACAGAAGAAGTCACGGTCCAGAACCATGATTTTCCATGACCCTTCAAACATGTGGATGTGTCCGCCGTTGCCTTGGATCGAAAACAGACTTCATGACCTCAGGTGCATCCCTGTGTAGTCCGAGAGCTGTAACTAGGAGTCTCGGGGTACGACAGCAAAGTGGCAGAATTGCTTGCCTACACTGAAAGCAAGTCAAGCCGCGATGAAGTGAATCGGCTGATCTGCAAACATCACACGGTAAATTCCTGCACGGGGCTTTTCTACGATTTCTAGTTTCCGGTGTGACTGCTGTGCCACACATGCCAAGCGTGGTCAATAGCGCAGTCTGGCAACACCTCTGATACAGTACCGACTCTGACAGAAGGACAGAAGATCTCCTACCAGTCTCACTGCCTGCATACCGCACGATGAATGATCGTGGCCAGTGCTGGACGTGGTCGAAGTATGCAGGCATCATCCGTGCCAGAAGCATTAGCCTGCGAATCTGAGTTGCACTTTTCATAATGACCGTCTCCAATACTCAAGCTGCCAGGACCTGGAATGCCAAAGGGGTCAAGTGGCTCTTTGCCGGAAAGAGTTTTGATAATGAACTGCCGGTCAGACGAGAAAAGGAAGAGTTCGCCGGACTTGGAGTTCGTTGGCATCACCCTGTCCCATGGCCGCAAAAATGCGCAACAACACGGCATGCGGCTGCTTGCACAAAGAACCTATTGCTGTCTGTTGAAACTCACCAAACTGCCCAACTCCCCAGCGGATATTCACGCCCGTCCTGCCTGTACTCTCCCGAGCCGTGGCCCAACGATTCCATCACTCGCTCTGGGCTCACGGCGTCGCCTGCCAAATTCGCTTGGTAGCATTGCAGCGCCAGGTGTTCAAACCACATGCACTTTCAGAGCATCTGAGCTTGGATTATCATCGCCAGCATGCTCCCACTTGCGAGGCCTAGAACTTGAAAAATCTCAGGACAGAAGAAGTGCATGTTCACCTCTGCGACCTCTCCTGCCAAGGCTCCAATCAGCAAATCTCCTGTGACCCTGCGACCGTGCACGACAATCTGCGACTGCATAATGTGGTTCATGGTCCCATCTCTTTTCACGACAATGCCCGAAACATCCCAACAACAATCCCGTCCTGAGCTGCTCTCGTGTACCTTGCACTGCTTCGAGAGCCAGGTTTCTCCCCAGTCTCATAAGAGAATGGAACACCTACGCCTACGCAGCCCCACGGCAAGGAACACTCCGCTGGGTCAGGCCCAGTTCCCTGGAGTAGCGGTGGATGGCCTGCTTGGCAGGCCTCAGTTTCTGTGTCGCAGCCACTTTGCGACAAGATGGGATGGAATCTTACCACATTACAAACATCACAACACTCCGCATCTCTAGCACGGTGCTTGGCAGCGAAATTGAAAGTTGCAAACACAGATAGAGATACGAAGAGACTTGGGACAAATTCTGTTTCCTTCCAGACAGCTAGACCAAGCGAACTTCTATCTGCCGCCAGATGTCTCCCCCTGCTGCTCGACTAGGATGTGCATTAACCTCGTTGCAGACAGATCTGAAACTGCAAGTGTAAGTCAGAATTCATCCGTGTTTGAGCCGCCTTGATCGCTTGATGACGATCTCCGCTCCCACGTGGACGCAATGGCGCAGCAAGGACAGCAACATGTCCCGTTCCAAGCCTTGGCGAGCGGTCGGCTCCGTCTGTCGATACAACATCTGTCGCGTGCTGCCCTGTCAGTCCAGGGGCTCTCGGTGGCCATAGCGCCGCTGCAGCCTGCCATCAGTGTGTTGACGGCACACAGCGGCCAGCCAAGTACGTCTTAATATGCAAGCGGAACGCCGCGCACAGTTGCTCTGCGGGAGTGACAATGCTGAGGCCGTGGCAGCCACGCCGCGGCACGACGCTCCACGAACTCACTGAGCCTGCACAGGCAAGCCGTTCTGTCTTTGCCCTGATCCAAAGTGGAGACAACAATGGGGTCCACGACATGTACAGTGCTGCTCCTGTGTCGGTCTTGTCGTTGTTGCGGAGACGCTCTGCAAACGAGGCACGTCCTGGACGGGGCAGAGACGGTGACTGTGTCATGACCAAACTGGCCACCGAGCAACATTCTCGGCAGGAGCATCATGTAGTGCCAACAAATGACAACCCGTTTGATGATTTGGGTTCAAGGCGACAGCACGGGAAAATCAGTCCTCGGATGCTCCTCACTGACTTGAAGGTAGCTTCCCTGCGTCGCAAGCTGCAGGTTTCAGCATGCAAGGGCCAGTGGCAGAAGGGAGGATTTCTTGACAGCAAAACGCCCTGCAAGTCGCAGAACGGCTGTGAAAGACCAACTCGGCATGTGACGGGGCGCCCGCCTGGCGCTGAGCTCTTTGTCCAAGTCAGGTCCATGTCCTGCCTGGCACGAAAATATTGAACAAAGAAACTTCAAGGAGTAGGCGCGATGCTTCACGAGCTTTTGACGCGCTCTCTGCCCGGCCTCGGGCCAGCTTCCGGCAGCCTCCAATGAAAGCACAACGGGGAATTTGTTCTCCCTACCCCGCTCGCAGATGCCTTGCAGTCCAGGACTGCCGGGCCCAGCAGTATCATGCCTGGCTTGCTCATGCTCGTGCCAAGCACAATCGCCTTGCACTCACACCGAGTGGCATTGCACCGCCGTTGTCCGCAGGAGCATCTGAGATTCCTAGGTGTTCCGTCTCCGTGTTAAAAGTGATCGGGAGGCCAGCATGCTGCAAGTATTTTCCAAAGTCTAGAACTCTACAACTTGCAGCTTGGGCTCCTCAATGTAGTCCTGTCATGACACCCGAAAGGCTGTGCGAGCAAAGGAAAGAAGAACCAGACAGCGACTGTGCAGGATCCAGCTTTCGCCGCCTGCAGGAGCTTCTGGCTCTCCAGTTCTTCAGGCGGAGCCCTGCGTTTGGGCAGTCCCCAACTGTCCCCCAACTCTGCGAGGCTCCGAGAGTGCTGCCGTGGGACTGAGTGGCGGCTGCCCGTATTCGCTGCCAGCTGGCCAAATTCTGACCTAAAAAAACTTCGCAGAACTTCGGAGAGTTGCGTTTTTGTATTGGTTCTTCGCTTTCTTCGAACCAAGGCACCCAGCAGGTCTGGAGAAACTCGGCACAGGCCCGTGATGATGAAAGCCTCTATGAGAGTTGACAGCGCAAAAGCCTTGGATTTGGGGCAAAGAGGGCGCTGGTTGTAAGCCGAGGGGGAGGCTGCCAGATGTTCCAGCTCGAAAGAGTGATGCAAGGGCACGGCCAGATGCAGTGCAGAACATGCCAAGCCGCTTTGTCAGCCAGGCTGATCTTCTTATGCCTCGCGACAGGAGAGGGAGCGCAGTTAGGCGCCGTAACATCGACGAACGTGGAAACTCCACGATAAGGATGACCCACAGCCCGAGTTGTATTCGGAACAAAACGTGGCTCCCCACCCTTCACCCACTCCGCACCTCACAGCGTGTGTCACGGCGCGGGTTTCGGCAAGGAACATCGCGCTTCCCAAATACTTCCTCAGTGCAGTGACGAAGCAAGCAAGATCATTTATGGAGATGGGTCTTGAGGCAGCTGTGGAGTTTCATGCACTGGATAGGCGCACTTGCTTTGCAGATCTGTCTTGAGGGCAAGATTGAAGCTGCTTCGAGTTGGAGCTCAGGGCCCGAACATGGTGATGGTGACTCTGAGCTCTGAGACTCCTTGAATTCACCTCGCCATCCGACTGTGCCAATGAAGATCAGCAGCTGGAATAGCGCATGCCCCGCGCACCACTCCGCGAACTGGAGCCTGAGATAATGCGCTAGGTCTAGGTCTAGGAGCACAGGAAATCACTGAAGCGAAGCTGCTACTTGTTAAGCAGCCCTCAAACCCGAAAAACACAACCACCTTATCTTGCAAGTCGCTGTTGGATGCAATCAAGCTCATATTCGACTTGATGATAGTCTTCGTGGAGGATCCTCAGGCAATGACTGTATGAATTGATGAAGGACGGGCGGCCCTTCAACAACAAACGCATCGTGCATCGTTGCGAATCTCCCATGACAAACTTGTACCACACTCTGATGCTCCGTAAGTCTTGCAAGGCTCACTATGTCCGCAGCTGCTGGGCTCTCGGTGGAGAGTGCGTGCACGCGAGCGCAAAGGCCCTGAGCACGAGATCTCTCTCTCTCTCTCTCCCTGTGCCTGTTTTCTTTGATGCGGCATGTACCCGGTTGACCCAAACCTAGGCTTTCAGCATCGTTCAGCCACCCCTCCGCTCCGTCCTTTGGCTTGCAGGCTCTGGGCCTCGAGGTCTCCGGTGGGAAACGAGAACGACTCAACCAGACGCTGTGGAGAAACTCTCCACTCCTCACCGCGTAGGATACAATCGTGCCCCCATACTGCGGGGAGGCTCGTGCCCTCCGCTGTCTCGTTTGAGGGTAGGCCCATTCGGAAGGGCGTTGCTTCCCGTGGCTGCGTTGGCGTCCATGTCGAGTGTTTGAGACAGCCCCGGTCGTCGAGGAGACATGCTGCACAGGCGATCACCCTTTTTGTGTGCGCTGTGGTTAGTTACGACTGCTCTTCGCAGGTCCTTTTAGGTTGCGTTCCGCCCGTGTGGTTTGCTCCGCATTGGCATCCCGGAAGTAACGGGTAGGTCAGTGAGTTTGCCCCCAGTTCCGCCTGGCTCCTCGCCAAAGCTACCCGGACACCTCCCGAGAAGTAGAGGTCCGCAGCCAAGCGCTAAACCCTGGGGCATGTTGATCAAATTGCAGGATGGTCTCAAGCACTGCCTGTGCTGCACTGGCAACGGTGCGCCTCTCGAATCACCGTCTTCTGGGTGCCACGGCAGCCCATGAATTGCGCAGGCATCTGGCAGGTACATACAGAGTGCTCGGCGAGGTCTAGGTTTGGGTATCAACGGTATCACTAAAGCCTTCTGCCAAACAAGTACAAGTCGTGGGTCATTGGCCTCAGCGTAGAAGTCGTGCAGGCTCCTCACAGGCTGTGATTTCACAACGCCACGCCAGCTTGACCTACGGGACCAAAAGGCTCTTCGGGTTACCCACGCACCTGCTGGGTGGCTCAAAGCTGACAATGAAGCGATGGTTCTTGAGGAAGGTGCTCTGACCAAAAGGGCAGGACCTCGGAAAACGCTGCTGCATGAGAAAGGGTGATAGGTCCTACTAGGTTACGAGCCTCTCGCAAACGACTCGCCAAGCCGCTCTCCGATGAAGAGCCTGTGCTCGTGGATTGCCAGTTCGACAGCGCCTCGTCGCGGGAAAAGGTTTCTCTAATCGGAACAGCTTACGTAGCCGTAGGTTTGGTACGGCATAAACATAAACATAAGCATGCCCTTGAGGCACTCAGTGCCACGATCGGCAACAGACATGTATGTTCACTGATTAAGGTCGGCGGAAGATTCGGTAGCCAGAACGACTGAATCGGTGACCAGAACGGCTGAATCAGAAACCAGCTACGAATCAGAAACCAACCGTTTGGGAAACCACACCATGATTCGGAAACCAGCACGACTGGGAAACCACAACGGCTGAACCAGAAACCAGACGCTTCGGGAACCAGAAGCCGTGATTAGGGAACGGTTCTCAAAGCTCATTAAAGCTGGATGCTATTATGGTTGGCCCATGGATGCTGTCCTCTCAGAACCCATTCGACCATGGACGTCATCATGGTTGGTGCATGGATGCTCTCTTCTCAGAACGCAGTAGACCACCCCCCTCCCCCCGGATGCTCTTCTGTCAGAATGCATCAGACCATGGACGTTATCATGGCTGGGCCATGGATGCTCTGTGCCCAGAACGCATTAGACCATGGGCGTTGTCATGCCCCCCACCGGCCCCACCTGTATGCTCTCTTGACAGATTGCATCAGACCATGGAGGTCATCATCATGGTTGCGCCGTGGATGTTCTGTGCTCAGGACGCATTAGACCATGGACGTGATCATTGCCCCCCCCATGGAATGCTCTCTTCTCAGAATGGACGCTATCATGGTTGGGCCTTGGATGCTCTTTTGTCAGAATCCATCAGGCCATGGACGGTATCATGGTTGGGCACAGTATGCTTTGTGCTCAGAACACATGAGACCATGGACTCAGAATACATTAGACCATGGACGTTATCATGCCCCCAACCCCATGGATGCTCTCTTGTTGCTCTCTTGTCAGAATGCATCAGACCATGGACGGGCCATGGATGCTCTGGGCTGAGGACCATGGAAGAACGCCGTAGACTCATCAGACGCGCCTCCAGTTTCTGATACCCGCTGGTTTCTGATGCGCCGGTTTCTGATACATGCTGGTTTCTGATGCGCAGTTTCTGCTGCGCCTCTGGTTTCTGATGCGCAGTTTCTAGGCCCAGTCCCTGATTTTGCAATGGATCCTCTGATGACAGAGTGTGCCACAACAACTGCGGACTGCTTGCCTGCGTGGTGGCATCCACTCGTGGCATTGCCGATGAACTCCCCACCTGCCATTGGCTGGAGCCCGACGTGCTTCCCTACCCGGCCTTCTGACCGACTGCGCTCTGACCCTTTTGAGCGCAGGCCTGACGAAAAGAACCGGATAGTTCCTGTCTGTCCGGGAAAGAGCTTCTGGAATGAGAGGACCTCAGGGACTCAGGGTTCTCGAGCGTGCTCATGCGCCCTCAGAGGCACATGACAACTCTGAGGAGCATACACACTGGCCGGCCGCAACACAGATCGGCTCCCGCAAAACAATGGTCTCGCATGTGGCATTGCCTGGTACCGAGCAATGTTTGAGGCGATGTCCACATTCCGTCCAAGTCGAACTGCCAACAACATAGGCAACAGCAATTCATGGCTTTCGTGACAGATTGAATGGCGTCGCAACCTGAAGGATGATCCGGGGTCAGATTCGAGAGAAGATGTGGCTGGGACAGCGACCCGGTTAAAAAGACGCTGGCGGCAATCGAAACCACAGAATCCGTCAGACCACAAGCCAAGACACAAACCAGAACCAGCCGCACCAAGCTCATCACACTCCCACGTCCGGTCAACACTCATCTCTCAAATTAAAGCTGAAACTGCGTCGCAGGTCTCGCAGAGAGGGCGTGTCGTGGTGGCAACAATAGAGCGCAAAGGAAAACAGAACCGAAGAGCGAACAAGCTGCTCACTCGCACAACCAGGCTGCGATCTTCCCAGGTGTCCTGCGCCCATGCACAAGGACGAGCTTGCTTCCCAATGGAACCCGACAATTCCGTGCGAGCACCAAGCTAGGTGTGCCTCACTATTTTGCCATGCTGTGTAGCGCCGTCAGCAAACGCAGCAAACATGTGCGCTTTCAGTCCTTGGTTAGTCGACGAACACCGCGCTTGGCAATGTTCACAGCACCCTCCAGCACATTCCTTAGATGGATCGGTGTCTCTGGCACCTATGCATGCTCCGAACATCTAGCTGAATCACAAAGGCAGACAGCAGGACACCTGTTCAATCCCTTCACTACCGGTGGACAAAGTCTGCGTCTAGTGGTGACAAGCAGCATTGGGCATCTGCTCCGGCGGGAAGGGTGCGACGATGGGCCAACATCTCTGCACGGCCCACATTCAAAAGATTGAAACAGTGAGTTGTTCTGGTTGCTCCCGGTGTTTACCCTTTGCCAAGATGTCAAAAGACAGCCGAGGTCTTGTACCTAGTACTGACATAGCCCTGGTCCAGAATGATGTGAAGGCATGGCTCACTAATGCACTTCGGCAGGATAGGCTGCCATGATGTCTCCGCGGCACACATCCTGCACGGCTCCCAGCATACGTGTTCCCACTGCGCACGTGCTAAACGCAGGGTGCTTGGCATGGGCGATCATCTTGATTTTTGAGCAGCTAGTCTTTGCGGTCCAACCAACACTCAGAGCACATCCCTCGACCGGTGCAAGCTCCACAAGCTGCCAGCGGCTGCAGATGACATGCAAGGCTCCAGGCCAGGAGAAAGTGGCCCAAGTGGTTGGCGGCCATAGTCTCTTCCAGACCATCCTGGTGGGAAACAGCCGTCCAGATGTGATCTGCATGATCGCGTGCACTTATCACCAAGCTTGACCATTGAAACAGACCAACAGCCAGAAACTAAACCTTTCCAGCTTCGAGGCTGCCCAACGAAAACGGAAGAAGGCAACTTCATTTTATCATCATTGAACCCATTCGCGAAGAGATCATCACTCGAGGAAGTTGCAGGGGTGCCTCTGTCAGAAGCCTGCTTCGCCGCATAACTCCAGCCTGGCCACAGGTACGTCACCTTGCTTGGAGGGTCCGGGAACCTACGTTACAATCAGAGCTCTGGCGAAGCTCGCCAGAGGGACGTTGAGCACCAGTGTGTCCACCTGCCCCACACTTGATTGAACGTTGCTGCATCTCGTGTGGTATGCTGCGTGTGATCCACCGGCCTAGGCGGACTGAGAGAGAGAATGAGAGAGCTAGCGAACGAGGGGCGAGAGACAGACAGAGAGGTATGCAGAGAGACCGCGACACTGGTTCTGAGATGGGCAAACGGGTTTGCGGTTGGCTCTGGTGCCTCCGCTCGAAAAAAGGCATGGAAAGCTGAGTCCGCTTTTTGTCTGCTGATGGTCTCGCAGCGATCTCTTTGCCTTATCTGACCGACACTGACGGCAGGCACGCGCCACCATAGACACGCTGACGTCCAGGACATATCACAAATGTTGGAGCCGATGCACAATATGCACTTCATGTGGCAGATTCCTATTATCCTTGACTGCAAGGCCATGCTGCTTGGCTCGTAGATGGACTCCAGGCCAAACAATGCCTGTCAATCAGAATGCTGCATGCCGAACACACTCGTCGGCTGTCTCGTCGTGATCGTATAAGAGACTTGGAGACACACTTCAACGATGCCCCCCCCCCTGTTCGACGAGACCAGCCCTTTTGCTGTTTCAGCTCCCTTCAGCGCGAAATTCGTGTCCAAATATCACATGATGAAAAACCTCACGCGTCATAATGTCATGCAAGTCATGCACAGTATGTGGGTACCAAGCCCTGTTGTTGGACCAAGGGTGTCAAGGGCGATTCGAAGTGAACCTCCCTGAGATCAGACGAGGTGCTGCTCCATGGATATAGATTCCAAGGAAGGCCGCCTGCGTGGAACAATCGACGTGCCAACAGCTCGCTTTGTATCGACCCCGATGCTCTTTCGCACTCCCCCGGATCGCACAAACCGTCCTAGCGATGATGATGATGCCCGAGTGGTTCAAAACCCTCACGTTCCAGGAAAGTCCACGGATATAAGGCTTCAAGTCCGACGTAAAACCCCCAAAGCCAGGTCCTGGGCAAAACGCGATAGAAGACAGTCGAAGACTGCATAGTGGCAGACGAGGAAAGCCCAGTACCAGTGATGAAGGTGCAGCTTGCATCCTCACGGCACAGCACAACAAGGCGACTTTCTGTCGCAAGCGGATATACCTGCTGTAACTACACCTACGGCTTGCAATTCCTCACCCGTCGTCAGGCCCGTAAGGCCTGTCTGATACCCTTCTCCGACACCATGCGCTGCCAGGCCGAACGCAACCCATGCCACCTGAGCGACCAAACAGCCCTCCTTGGCCTACGGCCATCTCGCCTAGATTGAACTGCCAATGACATGGTTGACCAGACGTCTTCGGAAACCTTACCACTTACCACGCATCAACATGCAGCAAAGGTTCATACTCCCAGCCTATGTCGGCTTGGAAGGCACAGGTCAAGTGGTCAAGAAGGACACCTGCACAAGATAAACCATGGTCTTGGGGTGTCTCGTCTGAGCAAGCTGAGTCTGGAGTGCTGTCTCGATCCACTGGCAACTTGACCGCGGAAAAACCTGGACCGGTAGAACGGTAGAACCCAAAACTGCTCCTGCATGCATCACTTGACCAAGTGTAACCAAGACGATGCTCTGCACAGGCTTCAAGACGGTGGTAATGCACAGCACTGGACTTTTCGAACGCTTGACGACCTCTCGATGAAGAAACCCATTCGAGCTGGCAAGCAACGACTAAGTGACAAGAAATGGGATCGCAACGGCATGTCGAGATTGTTGGTACAGAGGCATCGCAACACGAGGAGGGTTGATGCAAGCTCGTCTCGACAGCACCAACGTGAGGGCAAAGGGAAACCACACCAGGACGCCAGATTTTTTGTATTCAATCATGCAGTAGAAGGCAGGTGCTCAGCACAACTGCCATGCCATGCTGCACTGAAGATCGCATGCAGCATTGGCAAACAGCGACTTGAGCTTGGGTCCGACCGCCTCGCGGTCGTTGCGTGGCTGCTTGCACTCGGCTGCTCAGTCACCAGAGCCCGTCAGAAATCCGAGCCCGCCGTCGACGTGTGCACCGGAACCTCTGAGTCGGGTGGAGCCTCGGCTCTGCATCTCCGACCACATGGAAGGGCCCTGGAAAACTCTGAGGGACTGGCCTGTCATGCGAAGGTCCACTGGGAGCCTGCAGCATCGTTCATTGCATCAACAAGGCTAGGACGCCAACATGTGGCAGTCGAGGCGGCGGTCCCGGTTTGGCAGGTGCCGGCAACACACAGCTGCGCTCGGCCCTCAGACATTTGTTTCGGCCGCCAGCTGTAAAGAGGCCTGCCTAGTATCCTAATGAGACGGGAGGCAAGTCCTTCGCCCTCTCAATGCAAAATAAACAGACTGCCTAAGGCAGCAGTAAATTCCAGCCAAGTCTGGCTGGCTCCAGCATTCGGCACCATGGTAGTGCAGAGGCGCCGTACTCACTGCGCTATCCATGTCAGTCGGTTCTCCTGATCAGCAGCACACTTCGCAATGCATGAGCGCACGAAAGTCGAAAGCCTAGCGATTGCTGATTGAACTCGACTAGACGAGACTAGACTAGACTGGCCTAGAGTACACTAGACTGGACTGGACTAGACTAGACTAGACTACTAGACTAGACCCCGTGTGGTCTCCTTGACGGGGCAGGCCTTCTCTGGCATCTCTGTGATCAAACCCTTGTCCATAGCAGCCAACCAATATGTGACCTTGCAGCCAGGCTCACACACAGGCCCAAAGGCCGGGGTGACGTGGACGTAGGTGTGGCTACCCTCCTCCGGCTTGTTGATGTCGAAATTCATGTCTTCCTTGCCCGGCTCACCGTTGACCTCAAGCAGCCAGGTTCCAAACTTGAACCCCCCCACGCCTAACTTAGAGAAGCCCTGCACACTGTGGCCGTTCCAAACCCAAAGAACTTGTTCTCAACTGCAGAGAGCAGACGCTGTAGTGCACGGCGATCATGGTAATGCTCTCGTGGTTGGACGGCGTAACGGCGGACTTCAATCTGCTCTTGCCTTTATCATCCTTCACCAGTTCGAGGGTGTGTGGGAATTTGCCATCCACAAAATGCCCGGAAGGTGGTGCAGACTTGTCGAACAGATTGGGGAACTCGCCGATAACAAATGCTTGGGCCTCTGCCTCGCTCATGCCCTTGTTCTCCATCAGCCATTTGGCACGGTTCACTGCTGGTGCACCATCGCAGATCACTCCTGACTTCCAGGTGAGTGGCTCGCGGAACGCCAGGAAATGAGGCTCATGCTTATCCTCATGTGCTCGAGCATCTCCCAAATGGAAGGTGTGCTTCTTCTCACCTAGCAGAGCACAGAGAGTCAGGTATCTTGTTTTCTAGGCAAACCCCTCTCTCCATGCCCGGCCTGAATTCCAAAAGCTGTGAACTGGCTGCAGCAGTCCTTTCTTGTCGTCTCCGAGGGGGTATGCATAGAAGACCGGGTGCTTTCCCTTCTCCTCACATGGCCAGGGATCTCCCATGTGGAAAGTGTGCTCGTTTTCCTTGGGATTCCAGTAATCGAACACAGGCTCCGTGCCGGGAACCTGCTGTTGGAAGGCATAGAACACGATGTCCTTCTTCTGTTCCTGGGGCCATGGATCGCCGGTGTGGAAGGTGTGCTCCCCGATCTCTACGTTCACATACTCGAAGATTGGAGCTGCCATTGGAACAAGTGAGAGCTACCGAAGTCCTGCTACGTCCCTCGACCGGAGCTGACAGCGGCTGGCAGGGTGCAGGACTCTCTCATGTGGGCACTCAAGCGAGGCGACTCTGTATACATAGACAAATAAGTAGGTGTATCTATATATATATATACACACATGTACATATGTAGACAGAGAGCGAGCGAGAGAGAGAGAGAGAGAGAGAGAGAGCGAGCAAGTCCGCCAGTGCTTTACACCAGCGGTGACGCTGCAGAGCCTGCTCCCGAGGTGCGCAACTGCATCCAAGTCCTGAAAAGCAGCAAATTGCGAATTGTAGGTGAATCTTCTCTTCACGAGGTGACGAGGTGATGCCCTGACTGCAAGCTCAGACATGTGTGTGACCCTGTGTCCTTGGCCCATCGCACGGTGAGGACGTATTTACCGCCTTGCAGCAAGGACGAAAGATAGATTTCACCAAACCACCTGTGGCGAGATGAATCAAGGCCGTCAGAATTGCGAGTGTTCTTCGATAAAGCTTGCGCACTTCTCCGGAAACTGTCCTCACGGCAGGAACACATCGTTCACCAAGCCCGGCGCTCTTCAGTCAAGCTCTACTCCACAATCTTGAAGCTCTGACTAGCTGCTGCTCCTGGTCCATGGCACGAGACAGAAGCAGCATCAGCTACTGGCCGATAGAGCGTGTTTGCAGACGGCTCAAAGCTTTGCAACTCCCCTCCTCGGCCCATGAGAATTTCTCCACCCGAAAAGAGCCAAGTGGACCATGAAGGCAGCAGCCTGGAGTTCAGCCTCTGCTGTCGCGGCGGAGGTGTTTGGCAAGATCCGGAGAGAGTATCAAGCCCCCATCAATGACACGTGGATGCGCATGCATCGGCTCGTGCTTTGAGGAATGAGTAGGCTGGCAAATCTCAAAGAGTTAGAGTTAGAGCAAAATGAGGAGGCAGCAACTGTTCCGCAATAAACCTGCAGCCGTGCTTCGCATCACCGCTGGCTGCTCAAAAATATACCTCAATCGTGAAGCACCACGAATGTGCGTCTTGCATGTCAAGCCGGGGCCCGGGTTCGATGCAGTAGAATCGCGAACAGCTACAATACCCCATGATGCTGGAAACACGGCACCTGTGGCAAAACTACTTGTTCCTCTCTGCAAGATAATGCAAGGTGCTCGCTCATCCAACATGCTCGTAGCTCCGGCAGAATGGCTACTGCCTGGATTTAATGGGCAAACCAAAGACTACAGCAACAAATCATGTATCGGCTCCTGTGCATCTTCTGTCCCTAAACATCCCAGTCAGAAAAAGTCTACCAGGCCCCAAAAACAAGGTCAACCCAGGAACCCCAAAAACCATCCACAAAGCGAATCTCTCGAGCAGTGACACAAGCGGTTTAAGTGTAGCGTACTTAGACTTCAGCGGCCCCGCGCATATTATCGCGAGCCACCCGGCCGCCCCGGCCCGCGCGGCACCCCGAGATTCGCGACTTCCGCGCACAGGCCGCGCCGCGCCCCGTATCTCGACCCGCCCAAAAACACCTTCGTGCCGCACCCCGTATCGAGACCCGCCCGGTGGAACACGCCGCGCCACACCCCGTATTGCGACCCGCCTGGTGGAACACACCGCACCGCAACCCGTAGAATCGCGACCTACCCGCTGGAACACGCCGCGTCGCACCCCGTGTTTCGACCCGCCCGGTGGAACACGCCCCGCCGCGCCCTGTATCGCAACCCATGGTGGAACCCCTACGATCTTGCTCCGTGTCGGGACACCCCGCGGACCCGTTGGACGCCGAAGATTCTAAACGCTTTCGCTCCTGCGCCGCACCCAATATGGCGGCCCACGCGATTGGAAAATCTAAAGGAGATCCCGAGGGGTTTTTGGGAAAAAGCTACCAACTATCGGTCCAAGGATCGAATCGCCCTCGATGTTGACCAGGAAAGAAAGCGCCAAACCCGTCCCAACGCTTGAGCCATATGTCCGTAGATGTCCGTTGCACGGCGCTCCCCAGTTGTGGACACGACTCGAATCGCTGTAATCCCGCCTAGAATCACCGCCAGCGCCACGGCGCAAATGCCGAGGCCTTGCCTGGGCACGAAGTACAAAAGAGTCTGATGAACTGGTTCTGGGAGGAGCTCCTCTCCGAGCCAGGCTGCGGATTGTGGAAAACATCAGCTGAGATGTGCCTCGAATCGGCCAAGCCCACGGATTGCTCAATGGCATAATAGCTCCGCTTGCTTCGATGTTCACGGGTGCCGGAGTGGAAGGGTATTCAATGTATTCATTTGAATTGGTGCTCGTATTTTCAGCTGCGGAGGGGGAAGAAACCTAAGCGGAAGTGTATCAGCCGATAAGTCTATGAGGCTTTGTGTCTACTGATTTTGACGATGTCGTGTGTACAATACCACATCGTCAGCTGAAACAGCCTGATTCAAGTTGGAAGTATATTTGATCAAGTATTGAACATCTGGGCAATCTAGGTGTGTGTATATATATATATACAAGCCTATGCATGAAGATATGTACCTGTGTGTATGTATGTGTGTGTGTGTGTGTATATATATATGTATTTAGTAGTAGTAGTAGTAGTAGTAGCAGCAGTAGCAGTAGTAGTAGTAGTAGTAGTAGCAGCAGTAGTAGTAGTCATTATGCGTCTGTCTATCTACGTGCGACACATCTACTATGTGTGTTACATTATGTTACATTACATGACATTTCACTTCATTACTTTATATTGCATTATGTATTTTAAACTGAACTACGCTACATTGCATTACATGCATACCTACCTACCTACCTACCTACCTACCTACCTACATACACATACATGCGTACATACACACATACACAAACACACACACACACACACATATACACATAAACATACACTTGTACACAGGTACACAGGTACACAGGTACACAGGTATACAGGTACAAGGTACACAGGTACAGAGGTACAGATATAGGCTCAGATACAGATACACATACACATACACGGACGCAGTCGAAAACATCATGTTCTACAGCTCTTCGCATGTCGTATGTATGCTATCGCTAAAGTCGACATGTTGTGATTTCTCACATTGTACTCATTCTTAGTTGTGCTGAACAGAACCTAGAGAGCAAGAAGGCACAACAAATCTAATCGCAGATCCATGGTACAGGTTGACGTGCCGGACCTTGGCTACGCCGGAGTCCAAGCCGAACCACTGAAAGCAAGACAATCTTGAATGACCGGCCGCCACTCGCTGTGTCTTTCGGGCGAGGACTTGCCAGACTACAACTCAATCCTGTTGCCCTCCCCGACTTGCTGCCTCGGCGCCATCTCAAAAAGGACCTCTGCTTAGCTGCGTCTGCGTCGAGCGTGTGATTTTGCACAGCATCAACATTGATCCGCCAGGTTGCGGCATAGAAAAATGTGAAATAAGCCACGAGGAGGAGGAAGTCCAGACGCAGAGACTCGAACGCGCCTCGCGTGTGCAACCCTTGCTTTCCTAAGCATATTTTGGCTGAGTC